TATATTTGAACAATTTCGTAGAGTGGCAAATATATATTTTCTTTTTTTGGTCATACTACAACTTTTTCCACTTATTGGTAGTGGTGTTTCTCCTATTGTTGCTGCCGCCCCATTGCTCTCCATCACAATTATGACTGCAATTAAAGATGCTTTTGAAGACTGGAAACGTCACTCCCAAGATAATACACTTAACAAATCAAGAACAACCAAATTATCCAATTGGCGTAATGTTAATGTACCTGGAAGTGATCGTAAACGGTTTAAATTTTTACGTAGTATATTGAACGGTTTACAGAAAAATAAAATTCATGAAAATAATAATAAGAATTATGCAAGTCAAATGGAAATATCATCAATTTATGGTGCAAAATGGATAGATAGTCGTTGGCAAGATGTTAGAGTTGGTGATATTATACAATTGAGAAATAATGACTCTGTTCCTGCTGATATAATAATAATTTCTACAAGTGAACCTGACGGACTTTGCTATGTAGAAACAAAAAACCTCGACGGTGAAACAAATCTCAAAATCCGTCATTGTAACAATGCCACTTCATCTTTGGCAACAGAAAATGATTGTGAGCATACATTTTTCTATGTTGAATCAGAACCACCACATCCCAATCTATATTCATATAATGGTACATTACATTGGGTTGGAAATAATAATTCAAATGGAATCAACAACAATGATGGCGATGATATGAACTATTCCAATGAAAAAAGTGTGCCAATAACCATCAATGATGTTCTTTTGAGAGGTTGTACTCTACGTAATACTGAATGGGTTATAGGATTGGTAATATTTACTGGTACTGACACTAAAATCATGTTGAATTCTGGTGATACTCCAAGTAAAAGGAGTCGTATAGAAATAGAAACAAATTTTCATGTGTGTGTTTTTTTTTTAAAGTTATCTTTGAGAAAAATTAAAATTTATCATCAAATAAATTGATTTATTATTTTTTTTTTTATAGGTTACTATGAATTTTATTATATTGTTCTTGCTTTGCTTAGGTTCAGGTATAGCTCGAATGATATATTTTATTCAACCTCGAAGTTCTGCAGATATTTTTGGATATGAAGGAAAAGTTGAAGGTGGTGCATTATTTAGTGGGTTTTTAATATTTTGGTATGAAAGGCATATAATTTTGAGTGAGAACAATCAAGTATATTTAATTTTTATATGCAATCAATCAATCAATCATTTATTTTAAATTTTTTTTTTTAGGACAAGTTTAGTTTTATTTCAAAATATTGTACCAATTTCATTATATGTTACAATCGAAGTGGTGAAAACTGTACAGGTAAATTAATATAACATATTATAATAACGATGATACAAATATTTATTATATTTGCAAAATAATTTATTTAATCATACAAACGCACATGCATATCTTTTTATTTGTAAGGCATATTTTATTCATTCAGATATTGAAATGTATTATGAAAAACTTGATTATCCATGCGTTCCAAAAACTTGGAATATTGCTGATGATTTAGGCCAAATTGAATATATTTTTTCTGATAAAACTGGCACCTTGACACAAAATGTTATGGAGTTTCGTAAATGTACAATCAATGGTGTTACATATGGATTAGGTGAAACAGATGCTATGCGTGGTGCAAAATTACAAGAACGGCTTAATAGTGGTGGAAAGATGAGAGGTGATGGTGATGATGATGATGATGAAGTTGATTTGGAGGCAGAGAAAAAATTAATGTTAAAAGAAATGTCAAATTTATTTGAAAATAAATACACCTCCCAAAAACTTACATTCATTGATTCAAAATTATACCAGGATTTAAAAGTTATGGAGCAACAATCAAAAGCTATCCAAAATTTCTTTTCCGCATTAGCACTTTGTCACACTGTACTAGTTGAACATCCCAATGAAAATGATCCTTATGAAATTGATTATAAAGCTCAATCACCAGATGAGGCTGCTTTAGTTAGCTGTGCAAGAGATGTTGGATTTGTATTTCTTGAACGGTGCCAGGATACTTTAGCAATTGAAGTGATGGGTGAATATAAAGAGTTTATATTGTTAAATGTCTTGGAATTTAATAGCACCAGAAAAAGAATGTCAGTCATTCTACGTTCACCTGACGGAGGAATAGTTTTATTGTGTAAAGGTGCTGATAGTGTAATATATGAACGTTTAGAAAAAGGATCTCAATCAGAATTAAGACAAGAAACTTTAGAAGATCTTGAAGTTTTCGCTAAAGAAGGTATTTATATATAAACATATATCCAATATATCCAATATATAATATATATTAATTATATTAAAAATTACAAAAAATAAAAATTAAAAGGACTTAGAACACTTTGTATAGCATATCGTACTATATCAGAAGAAGAGTATAGTGTATGGTCAACAAAATATGCAGAAGCAGCATCTAGTATTAATGATAGAGAAGAAAAGATAGAAAAGGTGTGTGAAATGATTGAACATTCATTGATATTAATGGGAGGAACTGCAATAGAAGATCGACTTCAGGAGGGCGTGCCAGAAACTATAGCCACATTGGCACAAGCTGGTATTAAGTTGTGGGTATTGACAGGTGATAAAGTGGAGACAGCCATTAATATTGGATTTTCTTGTAGCCTGTTACAAAATGATATGCTTCTAATTATCATAAATGCATCAGACAAAAAAAGTATACTTTCCCAGATAAATGAAGCAATTGAAAATTTTTTCGAAAATCAAGACGAAAAGAAAAGTAAGCATGCACTGATCATAGATGGCGAAACACTCAAGTATGGATTAGATGATAGTGTGAAACCATATTTGTTAGATCTTGGTAAAAGATGTGAGAGTGTTGTTTGTTGTCGTGTGAGCCCATTGCAGAAAGCACAAGTAGTTTCTATGGTGAAAAATGGATTGAATGTGATGACATTATCAATTGGAGATGGTGCTAATGATGTTAGCATGATACAAGAAGCAAACATAGGAGTTGGAATTGCTGGTGAGGAGGGGCGGCAAGCAGCAATGTCTGCAGATTTTGCATTTGCACAATTTAGATATTTGGAAAAGCTTTTGCTTGTTCATGGACGTTGGTCATATATCAGAATAGCAGAAATGATTTCATGTTTTTTTTACAAGAATATTGTATGGACAATTGCAATGTTTTGGTATCAAACCTGGGCTGGGTTTTCTGCACAATATCTTTATGATTACACGTATATTTTGCTTTATAATCTTGTTTTTACAGCAATTCCTGTAATGTATCTGGGTGCATTTGATCAAGATGTTGATTCTAAAACCTCTTTAAAAAACCCACAACTTTATAAACGAGGTATTTTACAACAAGATTTTACAAAACTCAAGTTTTGGTTATATGTATTAGATGCAGTATATCAATCACTTGTATGTTTTTTTGTTCCATTCGGGTTGCTTCAATTTGGACAATCTCATGGCAATGGGTTGACAAATAACAGTTTAGAGGATTTAGGAACTCTGGTGGCAGGATCTGTGGTGGTGACAACTAATTTATATGTTGGATTGAATATTTTGAATTGGTCATGGATAGGATTTTTGGTTATTTGTGGTAGTATTTTATCATTTTATTTATGGGTAGAGCTTTACTCCATAGTGTACTCAATAGGATTCTTTAGAGTGGACATGATATTATTTTCTGATTTGGATTTTTGGTTGGCGATTACTATTGCAACTATATTTAGTATTATGCCAAGATTTGTTGTAAAGTATCTTCATGAATCATATTGGCCAACTGACACGGATATTATTCGTGAACAAGTGTATCTAGAAAAGAAATGTAGAAAGAAACAAACAATTGTTGAAGAGGAAGAGGATAGATTGCCAATTAATACTGAAACGGGAGGATATGTTGCAAGTTATTCAACTAGTGATATACACGAAAACTTGATAATGACTGAACAGACTTCAATGACAACAACAGCAATAAAGAAAGAAAATACAAAAACACCACAAAAAATTGGCAAATCAAAAAATAATAGACCAATAGGACCTGCTAAACCAACTGAACAATTTGTACACATGAATTCTGGTAGAAGGCAATCATTTACGGGATTCGCATTCTCAGTTGAGGAGAGTAAATTTGAGAACTTTAGGAAATCGGTTTATAAACCTATACAAAAAATTAGTAATAAATTACATAGACATAAAACCATAAAAGAATACACCGAATCATCATCACCATCATCAAATAATTTATTTAAATAGTAAATCTTTACCTAGTCTTTATTTCGTAGATTACCATCACCTAGAAATACCAGCAGATCTCCTTCACTAATAGATTAAATTCTAATAACACCAACAATAATGACCATAGTCATTATAATGAGTAGGAAGTTCAACTCATCATCATAATATTAATCATTTTAGAATGCAAATTTTTTTTAAAAAAATATTTATTGAATTTTTGTACAGTATTTTCAGTAATGATGAATTTTTTCTTTTTCTTCTTTACCTTTAGATAGATGATGATGGTGATGTTAATATATAATACTGTAGTAAAAATAATAATAATAAATAGTTTTGTAATATATTTTATGTTTAATATTATTAGGTGACATTCAAATCTGACATTTCCGAAATAATAATATTATTATTGTTATTACATATTAATATAACAGAAGTTTAACTAATCATCCATTGACAATTCACTCAACTCATCAATCCTTTCAACACTTTTTCCTTTATATTATTATTAAATAATAAATTAGCTTGCTAATAGTTATTTGGATTAACAAACTTCAATTAATCGTTAATGAAAAAAGTAAGAGGTGGGACAAGATGATATTCTAAATATTGAGGATGACAATGGTAATGGTAACGATGGAATTAATTCAATTGAGGTTGTTAGCACTGCTAATTTTTCCAAAAATAAAAGTTTTGTATACTATATATAATCACATTACAAGAATTATATGCATACTATTAGAATCTTCAAACTCATTATATTTAAAAAAATATAATTTTCAATTATGCAAAATTGTTGATAAGTTACTATCGATTGCTATTGACGTTATTATTCTTGAAAAAAAACATTATAAATTTGTAGTAAACAAAATCATTTGTTGGAAATTCTCATGTAACAAATATAAATTTATACCAATTTAGGTGTCTGGTAACATCCAGTTAATACTATTAATACTGCTTGCTCTTTCAATTGTGACTCTGCATCAATCAGTTCCTTGTAGTTCTCTATTGTCAATTTGATGAGATTCTACAAATATAATATAGAAGTGAGTTAAAAAGCAAGTAAAAAATTTATTCATTTGACGATAACAAATCTGTATCACACTTGTAATTGCAACATGTTCTTAGCTATTTTAATAAATGTAGATGGGAACATTGTACAGAAGGTAACAGGTGCTTGAAAACGATCAATTTCTACACAACCGTACCAACCATTTGTAATGTAATTAACACGTAAAATTCTATAATTAAACTTTGTTGGAATAATACCAGGTCATGGAATTTTATTTAATAGCTGTATAACAACAACATTATGTTGATTTTTTCTGATGTTTAAGATGTTTCTTAATAATGCCAAGTTTATGTGATGAAGGACATACTCTATCACCACACATTTTTGGATTATTTGTTTTTGGACATTTGATTTTTGTGACGATCTTCCTTCCAGATAATCACGCAAAAATTAAATATTGGCTTGAAGATCGTTACGCAAATTTTTAAAAAGAGTTTTGAATTGACAAAAATAAAATGTTTATAATAAATAAAAAAATTAATATAGTATTCCTTTATTGAATGTTTTTAATACATAGGCTTGGTTTTTCATTATACGGTCTAATATATTATTTACTTTTCAACTTTTCATTGACCTCATCAAATCAACATTTTACCTTTGATCATGAATTATATAATAGATTAATGTTATGTAAAAAACACAAATTTGGTCAGATGAGGTCGAAGGGTGTTTTTGCTGGAAAAGCTCCCATATAAAAAAAAGGACCATTTTAGGACTGATAACATATCAATCTAGTGTTACAATTTCACTATAGAAATGGTACTCGTTTAAACTTCAGTCCCTATTTAGTATTAGTATTAGTATTGTAAATAATTAATATTAATATGTATTAATATTTAATGTATATTATTACAAAAAAATTTGACCTTTTATTGCATGTAAAACTTCGATTGAAAATTTGCTTTTTTGGATGATTTGCTAAATATTTACATTAATATCATACCAAACCATTCAAAATTTTTGTAATATAGTTTTGATATCGTGAGTTTATTTAGTAATATTAATATTAATGATATTCTGTGAGATATACTTTATTCAATGCATGAAAACAATTTATTTGGTATCACAAATTCATTGTTTTAATATTAAAGTTTGCCAATTAGTAGTTTTTTGCACTGTTGATCACTATAAGAATTCTCTGATTCATGTAATTAAAAAGTAATAAATAAAATTCATAAATTCACTATACCACTCTTTTTAAGCAGTTTTCGCTTATCCATTTCTACCTTATTTGGGTACTTCGAAGAACAGGCAGGAATAATGGATTTAGTGATCTGAGAAATTTTTTTTCACAATATCATTGACAAAATTCGATTGATTACTTCATGTCACACTATTAGATAATACAAACGCCAAAAATTTTTGTTTATACCGATAAAACCAATCAGTCATTTTGTATCTTATCGTTATCAAAAAAAAAATTTTTTTCGATCACTGCAAATATTTCTTAACGAAATTTTAAAACATGGCCTCTCACGAAATCATCGAAGTTGCAGAATCACCAAATTTGAACCAAGGCATTTCCTTATGGCGGAATCCTTCACTTTATATTCGCTCATCCATCAAAGAGAGAACATTACATATAAAAAAGAATACATCTCTATCAGAATTAAGTGGCAGTCTCGGAGATTTAGGCACTTTACTTCCCATCTTAGTAGCTCTTTCGATCACTGGACAAATTTCTTTGACCGCATCGCTTATATTCGGAGGTCTATGGAACATCACTAGTGGTTTGATGTTTCGAATCCCCATGTGTGTTCAACCTATGAAAGGCAATAAATTTATTTTTCATGATTTTTATCGGTTTTTTTTTAAAAAAAATATTAATAATACCTATGTCTATAACAGCTATTGCGGCGGTAGCGATCTCGATACAATTATCAATAGGTGAAGTCATGTCGGCAGGTATTGGTGTTGGGTCTATGATATTTATTCTTGGCATCACTAGAACTATCAAGATCATCGAAAAGTGGACACCCATTCCAATCGTCAGAGGTATTCAGTTGGGTGCAGGCATGATTCTAATCATAAAAGCTGTCGAACTGGTTCGAAAAAGCGGTAGTTGGGGTGGTAGTTCTTGGAAATGGAATGATAACTATGAATGGGCCATGCTATCGTTCATATTCGTATTTACGTTTTATTCATCTAAAAAAACACCAACGGCATTAATTCTATTTGTTTTTGGGCTAATAATCGCATTTATAAAAGTCTTTGAATCTGGTAGTACATTACCATCGGCCTCATTTAATTATCCCGAAATTGTTGTCCCAACCCTAGAAGAATTTAAAACCGGATTTCTTAGTGCATCTCTTGGTCAACTTCCACTGACAGCTCTCAATTCTGTTATCGCATTGTCGGTATTAGCTAATGATTTGTTCCCGGAACGGTCCTCATTGAACACTGTTGAAAAAATTTCAATTTCCGTCGGACTTATGAACATTATTGGATGTTTTTTTGGCTCTGTTCCATATTGTCACGGATCAGGTGGACTCGCTGGACAATACCGTTTCGGCGCAAGATCCGAAGTTAGCGTTTTGATCCTTGGATTTTTTAAATTAGTCCTGGGGATATTATTTGGAAAGACTTTAACCAATCTCCTAAATTACTTCCCTAATTCAGTTCTTGGTGTAATGCTCTTTGTTTCTGGAGCGGAATTGGCATCCGCAGCACGAAATTTTATGAACACTTCTGATGATAAAGATGATGATGAGATAAAAAAGAAGAATTTTGCCCTAGTGATCGTAACAGCAGGATTATTGGTCGGCTTCCAAAATGATGGAATTGGATATATTGGTGGTATGCTGGTTAGCCTTTTGTTTTTTATTACTCGCTTCTTGATGATGAAACTTAAAAAGTGAATTATAAAACAATATACGAAAATTTAAAATTATTTACGACAAGAAAGGAAGTTTTTATTTGTAATATACTGTGCAGTATACCATTTTATGTATAATTTGTAATTAATAGTTAATAATATCAGTAACAACAATAACGTGATCTAATTGAAGTTAACGGCAGTCTAGTTAACAATTATTAATAAAGGCGTGAAAAAAATTCCAATTTTGGAATAGAAGATTTTTGTCCAGTATAAATATTTCGAAAATCTTGACAACTATTTATTAGTCTTATTTATTTTTGTCAAACGCGCTAACCTACAGTTTTTCAAAAAAGGAAATCTTCTACAGTCCGTTTTATAAACTATGCAACAATATGCAAATTACAATTTGCTATTTTATTATTTACAGATTGCAATTTTTGAATTTCGCAAACTGCAGATTGCAAATTGCATATCGCAAAGGTTTGTTTCTGAATTTTTGGTAAACTGAATTTTTGGAGCAAAATTGAAATATATACAAAACATTGTGGTGAACAAATTTTTTTTTTGTGTTGACACAATTCGTCAAAATGATCATCATCATCTCTTTTTGAAAAATGTAAATAATGATAATGATACATTCGTTTATAAATTTTAATCATGTTCATTGATTGTTGTTGGCAATTAAAAAACCATTGATTTTGTTCTTTTCTGCTTATTAATGATTAATAAATAACATGGTGATAATTTTTTTCCCTAGATTGTTGTTAATTATTAATTAATATAATAAAAAAAATAGTGCGGGTTGTGTGACTGTACAAAAAGCACGTTAATGTTTAAATATGTATTAACAAAAAATAAATTATTTTTGAAGAAATTTTTTTTTTAAAAACAGTCGAAGCCTCCTTGGAAATTTCAATTAGCATTATTGTTATGAGAACAATAACTTTACATTTTGTAAATATCAATAAAGAACTTCCGGTCTTCTTTTTTTAGATAAAATGAAATTTCTACTATGCTAAATAATGTGTAGTGGGGAAGAAAAAAAACCAATCAATCTAAGATTTGAGAAAGCCTCTTATCTCCTATTTACACAGAGCCAATCATCTTAAAAAATCCCGAATCCAAAAAAATTATCTTTGTTACTATCAACAATTGAAATTTGTGAATGGTTTTTGATAAAAGGTAAAAATTTGGCTAATCGCGAAAAATAAAAAAAAAGAATTAGCTGATTCATTTTTTTAATAACAATAAACAATAAAGATTGATTGTTTATTTAATGATAACAAAAATAAAGGTTGATTGTTCAATGATAATGAAAATAAAGATCAATTGTTTTTTTTTATTAAAAAAAAAAAAATAAAGATTGATTGTTTTGTCACAAGAAATAAATAAGTCTGCCATCTTAACCTTTTGTTTTTTTTTATGTTTATTAAAAACAACAGATGTTGATGTTGATAATGAACAAATTTGGGTTGCCTTTACTGTTCATTCTGCCATTGTTGATGCTGTCCTCTCCAAGCAGAAGATTAATATACAGAACGCTTTTGGTCTAACACACAGGTAAAAAAAGGAAATTCGGAATAAAACCGGTGAAATATCAGATACCTGATTTTTTACCTATTTTAAGAATATTGATGATTTTCTCATATCTGATTGTTATTGAATTTTGGCGCACATTGGCAACAATCAGTAACCAAATGGTAGAAATTCAGTGTCCAAAAATCAGTAAACTATCAGGCAAAAAAATGTATCATATCAGACACCCTGAAACTTTAGCTGATCTTTTATTAATTTCTGAATGATTATTCACTGATTTATGAAGAAGGTTATATAACTTATTTTTCTGTAAGTTATTTTAATTGTTATTATAACTTGCATCAATAATAATGATAAGGTATTCAGTGACCAATTAGAAAAATTCGATATCAAATCAAAAAAAAACCAATTATCCACCCGATTTTTGGCAATGTTAATAACCAGTTGACAATTGGTGATCCCGAATTTTAACTAATTGCTTATCAAAAATAGGGACAATTCAGAAATCCCTGATTTTTATCAATTCTAAAAATTGTAAGAATCCATAATTTATTGATCAATTTGACAAAAAATCGGGAGCATTATCGATTTTTCTTTTTTTTACTTGTGTTGATATGCACGACAAACTTTATTATCCGATTTATTAAGATTTTTTTTGTGCATTTACTTCGGTTTAACGAGTTCTGACTGCATAATTCAATAACAATAAATTTTGCAAGCGTATTCACCATTCAAATGCTTAATCACATCCAACCCATTATTATTACAGTCTTTAACAACATTGACGCTTCCCATCTTTCAATCGATTGGTACGGATCACGTGATCAAAAGGATATTTACAGAATGGATTGTAGTTTATGCTTTGATTGTTTAAAAGACAACAGCTCTGAACTTTGTTTTCGTGATAAAATATAAAATAATTTGTAACAATAAAAAAATTATTTATATCAGTTTATAGCTTAGTCCTG